TGTATCAAGATCCTTTTGAGCATCAACCTTTCAATGTCCAAATGCCTGGATCGAACAGCCACCTTTTGTGCACATTTTTTGCGCTACCCGAAATTGTTGGCCCAGTGACGAACGACCATGAGATCAGGTTGGTGGTGACCAAGCCCTATAAATGTTGGTTATAAAGGTGCAATTGTCTATTTGATGAACATTCATCGGTTGGTTGGTTTATAGGTTTAGGAAAAACTAAATATATATATATATATCTCTCTCTCTATACATGCATCTATATATATATGATTCTATATGTATACTCTCTGTATGCGTTTCAGGCCACACTCAAACGCATAACCTATGAAATCCCATCATAGCCACTACAAGCCCAAGATATCCATGTGATGCGCACACAGGCTGAAACGCAGCCTGTGCTCCCGTCGGCCGAGTTGCAGGTGTCGCAGCAAAGACTTGGATGTTTTATTAACAGGCGAGTTTTTAAGCAAAGGGTTAGACATGGGTATATGGGTACAGCCATTTTGATTTTTTTTTTTCCGGAGTATCTCCAATTTTCAATATTTCGTCTATTTTTGAGGGATGAGAAGAGCCCAATCAAAATCGTTTTTTTTGGGATCTGACACTCAAAAACAGCAGAACACCTAGCCAGCCATGGTTTACATACTCTCCTGAATTGATGTTTACGGGAAAATGTTCAGGACCTCTACAATTTATAATAAAAGAACCAATTTTGGGTTTTTGGGGTTTCCAGAAAAAACGGTCCCTCTGATCCATTGACAACTCCTCCCCTATTCCTATAGTTTCTGGACTTGTCCAATCCGAGAAGCTGTCAGTACAACCCGCCTTGGCATCGCTCCCCAACTTGTTGGTCAATCTCTCCCGGCCGTGAAATCACCATGGCTTCTTGGTCAAGGACCTGGTGCTGTGGGGCAGCAGGGCCAAAGGTGGGATCGGCATTCCATGGCGGGTTTTGCCCCAAGTATTCCAGGAGTCGTTTTGTTGGGGATGACACCACAACGACCTTGTGGAACCCTAACATCATCATTTACGACTACTATGGACGAATATTTGCCCTCTAGAGATCATTTTTCCATCTCATTTGTGGGCGCAGGCATACTCGGCATACTCCTTCAATAGAGCCTAGTTCCGAGCAAAGCTTGACCCTCAAAATATCCAGAAACAGGATGTGGATGGAAGAAAGCCACCAGTTGAACCAGTTGCTATATGGTTTAATGATGTTTAATGTGGTTAAAAGATGTTAAAAGAATGTAATGTTTACCATCCCCCAGTCAGAAAACCATTTTTATAGGTGCTATGGTTACCATTCCCAGTCATGGGTGGTTTATGGCATTGTTTTAAAACCACATTATACCTTCTAAATGAGCAGTGGCTGCTAAAGCGTTGCTTGATGAAGAATGTTCGAGGATGAACATCTACCCTTCATAAATTGGGGGGTTTTTGGAAATCCAAGAACGGGGAATCCCGATTTGAACCAACCAGGATTAAATGGAATGATAGAGGGATTTTGAACACTGCTCAATTTGCCGTTTAGTGTCATTTAGTGGGGCCAATTATGACTAACCAATGGATTTAGAAATATCATATGTTCAGACAAACCTATTTTTACTAACTGATTTCTTGGGGATTGCCCATAATAAGAATACGTACCAGCCAACCAGTATACCGGGATGGGAAAGCGGAGTTTTTTTCATGGCTCACCAGTTGGGTGATGATGATTTCACCAGGAGATGTTTGTGATTTGGTAATGGATCAAATTTGTGATCAAAGCCTATGACATACCATATTTGGGGAGATTAACATCCAAGAATCCCAGCTAACCACAACAGGATTTAAACATAAAGAGCATTAAAGAGCTGATTATTCTGTCTCTCTTCACTCAACTTCACAAAGTATGACTGCTTTACCACCAAACCTGCTGAGTATGACTGAGCACTGTAGCTCTAAGTGATTTGTGCGTACTTGAGACCCCGTCTGACCAGAACAGGGGTCATGTCAAATCAATCATTTGCGGGTTTTGCAAACCGGCGATGCCCCTTCAAACCCATACCTTGATTGAATTTGTGTATTTGGACTCTTTTAAGATTATGGAAATCCGGATGATACAGCTTACTGAAAGGAGATACCACGGAACCATGTTGGTCACGCATTTGTCGTTTGCTCAAGCGCCAGCAGATCCTCACAACATTTGCCTCATCAATCGACTATGGAGTTGGCCCCTTCATGGATTTGGGTTGCGCGAAATGGATCTAAATGGAGTCACCAGCAAGGCCCCAACTGGTGGACACAGAAAGAACTCTCTTGATGTTGTTTACACATGTTTACTGTTTACACATTTGTGCGCCAGTGGGGCCAATCCAAGAATGTCAACAAAGTATGGACAATGTTATGAAGGCAATGCAACTTCTTACTTCTCAAGGAGTACATGTCTATAGACAACAATAGACACTAGTACCCGTATGTGGCAGTTGGAAACTGCCACTGGTCAAGCTCTGAAACAATTCTCAAATGCTCAAACAACACTTTGCGTCATGGAGAGAACATGAACATGCCAAATTTTGCAGCTACAATGCGAGCCTCGTAAGCTGCATCATTTGTTTGACCAAAGAGTTTGCCCTGGACTTGTGAAGTGCCGGATGCGATCGAACATCGAAACAAGTGCTGCCCCAGTCTTGTGCGTTTGCGACACAACTGTTTGACTCAACTGTGAGGTGTCGAACTCTGAAGCGAGCTCTTCTTGTTGCCTCAGCTAAACTTTTTGAGCATAAACTCACGGGGCATTGCAGCCGAGCTGTGGAGAATTGATTCTTGTACACGCTTCTAAACAGAGTAGAGAAAGGGGAGAACTCAACACAAAACAACGGATCCCCAATTTTAGAAGCACAATTGAAACAAAGCAGGAATTGCTCTGATTGAGAATCTGCCCCAGGCACTTCAAGTGCCTGGTGCACGTTCTCAATCAAAAGCAACGCTCGCTTTGCGGGGATTACTTAGTGATTACTTGCCAGAGCCCCAGACTTAGCTCTTGCGTTTGGTTTCACTTTGGTTTCACAGCTTAAAGTCTGGTGTTCCATATGGTACGGATGCAACGAGACGGGAGATTCTGGAGAAAGGCGGTGGCAGCATGTTTCGACCTCCCGGCGGTGCGTGGGTGCGTGGATTCCCCGCGCCGCCAGGACCAGCATTTTGGAGTAAAAGGCGCTTTTTTTTCACGGGTGGATTCGGGGTGTAGCTTCATAGATACCATAGACACCACGTATGTACGACTCGATAGGGGAACCTTACCCAGATCTTCCCCCAGCCGCAGATGCTGATGGCCTTGTTCAAACCTCAGATCTCCGCTTTCAAGAAGCCATAGACGGCGATTGTGCTTGGAGAACTCCCACAATTTTCTGGGTCTTGATCATTGAACATTTACCCACAAACAAATATTTTGTTTCAGAACTTAAACCCCATTTTCCTTGACAAAAGAATTGTTTGAACCACAGCAAAAGCCATTTTAATATATTTTAATATTACATGTCACGGAATTTCAAAGCACATTCAAACCACATGGGTATGGGTCAAAATTAGGTACCCCAAAATTATGGATGGTTAATACTAAACTAGACTAACATGTGTGGTCCCCTAGGTTTTCCATTTTGACCCACATCCACATGTTTTTTTGTGGAAAACGCTTGGCTGCCGGTATGACATTGAGGACCATGGCTACTGGGAGCCCTGGGGCCCCCCATGCGACCTGCAACGCCTCGAGAGTAAGGCCATGTCAGCGGGTTGTGGCTGGATTGATGGTTCATCCCAGAAATAGATCCATAAAACCTGGGTTATAAATGGTTAAATGGTTATAACATGTGAGAACCCCAGTTATAAGTGGAATAAGTAGGGTTAATCCAATTTATTGGGTACCCCAATTATTTGATGGTCAATACTAGAAGTGGACTTAACATGACTTAGTCCCCCAAGTCTTTAACTTTGACCCATACCCAATTTATACCTTCATTTGCTGAGTGTATGATGTTCTATTTTTCCAATGGGAAATCCACTGCTTGAGGATGCTTGGGAATCTTCGTGCTTTTTTATCTTTTTCCAGGGTTCCTTTTTGGCAAACTCCAAGGAGTATAGCAACCCCTAGTCATCGAGAGAAGATACCTTGGAATCCTGGAAATTACGGAGGAAGCATCATCGAACTAACCTCGTGGAAACACTTGTCTATTTGAAGACCATTGGTTACATACGGATTTAAGAATCACAGATAGGGTTTCAACCATCAAAAAAATGGGAGTTCAGAAACAAAGATAGGCTTTGAACATGTTCTAATTTGCAGAAGAAAAACATGGGATTCTGAGTAAATGATGTCTTCGACTTGCTTGACCCCCACACAATCCTAGGATGATGATTCCGACGGGGTGCCGGGCAAGTAGGATGGTTGCGCATGGTGAAATGGCAAGGTCAGTTGGGGCCCATATATATATACACTTACACACACATATATATAAATACATACACATACATATATATATACATATTTACATACACACCTATCCTACATGATACTCTATCAATCAGCCTATGTATCCTGTACATTCACCTGGTTGGCCGCAGCACCTTCTGCTCCCGGCTTTCCGTGGGCCTTCGGCCACGCCGGCACCATGGATGGTGTGCTGGACCCACAGGTGGCTAGCCGCGTGAGCGCGGTGGAGGCAGAGATTCAGCAGCTGAAGATGCAGCAACTGCAGGAGATGTTTTTTTTTTGGGATTTACCCTCTGGTAAACTAACATAACTATGGAAAATCACAATTTTTAATGGGTAAATCAACTATAAATGGCCATTTTCAATAGCCATGTTACATTACCAGAGGGTAAGTAAGCGCCCTAAGTCATGGGGGTACCCTCACTTATCATCCATTTTATTTTCGGATCCATGACATAAATCCATATAAATCCTCCATTTTGACGTCGGGCTGGTAGAAACCCGCGCGCTTTTTTTCATTGATTTTCACGAGTATATTTGCATGGTATTTACAGTGCATTCATGTTTTTCTGCATTTTGAGGCCTTTACGAACTAACTGTGTTTTCCATGATGGAAGAATGATTATGAAGTTTGACATGCGTGGCTACTCTTCTTTTCTGAGTGACTTTCGTGTGCAAACCAGCATGTTCCACCGTTGGAAGTCACTTGAGAAAGAAAAGAGCGTAGCATCAAGAGTGTGTTAGAAGTTTCCTGAGAAAGAAAAGCTCGTAGCGTCAAGAGCATGTTGGAACTTACTTCAGAACAAAGAGAGCGTCACATCAAGAGCGTGTTGGACGAACGCAAGGCAACAGAACGTTATTAGCCCCCACCCCAGCCCCCCACCCCCTGCCCCCAATCGTCAACGCAGCACCAACGCCGTGTTCCATCCATGGTGAGGTGTTTTGTGAACAACGCTACAACCGCTAGTTTTCAGCTTGCTTACCTATATCTCAAGTCAACTTCAACACCTTCAGCGGGTCATGAAAGTCATAAAACACACAGAATTCATTGCCGGTTTCTACTAGCCCGATACCTTTTAGGAACCAGGTGAGGGTCTGCAGATTTATGTCAGCCGTCCCGCTCCTTGTGGCGGCCTTGCTGGACCCAAACGCTGTGCCAGCAAAATCTCAGATAGAAATGCGAGATAAAATGCACGATAACATACGAGTGTCGGAACGTACGTCAGAATATGCATGTCAACAGATTTGTCCGATAGAATGTTGGAACATATGGATAACATGCCAGCTAGAATGTCAGAATATATGCCGGGTAGAATCCCAGGCAAAATGCCAGATTAGTGTCAGTAGAATGTCGGTTGGTGGGGATCACTCGAAAAAAGTAATTCCACTGGTAAAACCTAACATTTTGATTCATTTTGATCGGGATTTAATGGGATTTAGTGGAGTTTAATGTGATTTATGATGTAGGGATTTCATAGGACGGGACATTCATGCTTATTGATGTGATTTCATGTTGCTTTTCATTGGATATTCCATTGGATTTATCCAAAAAATGGATATTTCACGAACCTTATAGGGCTATTTTTTGGATTTTCCACTGGTAAAACCTATGGAGATCGCCTTAGAAATCTGATGTTGCCAGGGATCATCCCGTTGTGGGTTAAAGTTTCTTAAGGACTTACTTGGCCAACAATGACCAATGACCTGACAACGATGTACCCTAAATGGTAAACATACAAAAAGCGATGGAAAATCACCATTTTTCATGGGTAAATCATGGGTAAATCCACTATAAATGGGCCATTTTCAATAGCTATGTAACAAATTACCAGAGGGTAATCAGGGATTTTCGATGGGGAGCCAACTACCCAACTGAACTTTTTTGAAACCCAAAATGGCGACCTGAAAATAGGAGGTGCCCAAACATGCCAGGGGAAATGGTGGTTGTTGGCATGGGATTTTGCTGGTGCCCTATCTTCAGACAAACCCGCATGACAGAGTCGGTCCAAACATGTTTAAACTTTAAACTTTAAACACATTCAACTGTTTAAACATGTTTAGAGCCATGACCCCCAAAGCGTTTAAACTTTTATAACATTTTATAAACATATGTGTTGCGGGACTGTTTGAACATGTCCCAAGTGAGTGATGGAGGAAATAAGAACGGAAGAGCGAAACAGAAGCACCAGGGTGATGTCACTATCAGAAGATTTCTCTGTGCTTGAGTCTGCACGTGCGCATAGTCACATGCGGTTAGGTCTAAAATATCTTAGAATTTGTCTAAACTAGTCTAAACATGTTTAAACAATTTCACTAGAGTCCCCTACTACCCCCGGGATTGGTTTAAACATTTTTGGTTCAAACATCGTTTAAACAAAAAGATGTTTAAACTTAAACCGTTAAATTAAAACCAATCCCGTTGCATGATGTTTTATGATTGGTGGATTGTTGGAAGGTTGTATTGCAAAACGGTTGATAATTTTGCGCTTCCGAGTGGAGATTTATATATAATTATACATATATGTAATTTTATATATACACGTTCATTGAAGGTTGGCAGGGTCGGTGATGAAACTATGTTTGTTACAGGGACATTTCTGACTCTGCTCCTGTCTGTGACATTTTGGGTCTCAAACCAAAATGGCCTGACTGGCCAGGTTCTGGTTATGCAACCTTAGGTCGTGGCTCAACCACGTTTTGTTTGATGTATATAAATAATGTGTCTAGGGGATATAACCATATCCTTTAAACATCTTTAAACCATTTCCTGATTGATATGAGTGACTATATGATATAAACGGAACATTGATGGCTGAAGATACCTCTCTTTGTCGAGCTTTATTGATATCTTGTGGTAAACCGATTTTTAGATCCAAGTTCGATATCAGTTTTGTAAGGGGAAGAAAACACCGGGACACCATGGATCTTGCCAGGAGCAACATCAACATTTAATGCAAATGCAGCAAGTGCCTTCTCCAAGCCCCTTGGATGATCGGTTGATGTGCGAGCCTTCGTGGCTGTAGGGCGGACACGGACATGTCACGATGGAAATATATGATTTTACATGTGGTATAAGGACACAAATAATTAATATATATATATATGTACAAGTATATACATGCATATTGATACTGTATACATATTACTGTAGATTCATTCTTAGGATTTCTAATATCTCAAATCCAGGAAAGAAACTGAAAGCCCTCGCTGAAGGTTTCACCACACCGCGCTTGCCGCCCATCGGTCGTGGCGCTGCCGTTGACTCGCCACCGGTTCCAGCGTCGGTTCCGCCGAGCGCGCCGAACGAGGCGCACCTGGAGCTGATGGCGGCGCATCGGGAGCTGCTGAAGATGCTGCAAAACCACACGAAGCCTGGAGTTCGCCGTGATTTTTAAACATTTTGATGGTAGTCAAATGATGTTAAATGTGGTGTTAGTTTTGAATGTTATATATGATCTAAATAAATCTGAATGATGAGTGGTTAAATGATGTTGAATGATCTTAAGAAAGAGTAATTCATCTATAATGAAAGTTAAAATATGCTAGCTTAACTCAGTGAAAATGGTTTAACCATGAAAACACCCTAAAATGGGGATTTGACAGTGAAAAGAAAGTGAATAAGACAGAAATTGGAGGTTCTAATCTAGTGGAGAATGATTTAACCATCTGAAGTCCCTGATGTCCCTGCGGGATGCGACCGGAATGGGGCTATTCGACACCAACAAGGGCTTGCCTCAAAGAATTATTCGCATGACATGACCTGGATTTGCTGTTCAAATCATGTTTTTCCCTTCCCATCCACCAGTCTCGATCCGCAAGTACTTCAGGAAATCCGCGGAAGAAATCGAGAAATCGCGGGAGAAACAGATCAATGACTTGCTAAAGGCCAATCAACAGCTCCAGGAACAGGTGAGTTCCATGACTCAGGGTCCGAAACTGGGATTTTTTCAAAGTTTTTTTTTAAACATATTTCCCATTGGTTAAAGCAGTCCACCATTTGGAATCGACATTTTTTCAACGGCCCTCAGCTCCCAGGAAAGTTGGGGCCAAGAGGATGGCTCGGGTGATTTCCAACGATTTACCCATCAAAGCACCTAGAAATCTCACCGTCTTGGACAATACCTTGCTGTTCTTGCCCGAAAAGGCGGTACGAGAATTTAATCTGGAGCCAAACATGAACGACAAAGGGGATGAGGACCGTGGTTTTTTAACGCGAAGGCGCGGAGGAGGAGTTGTCTCAAGATTTTTCTGGGGATGACCCAACAAGTTTTTTTTTGTTAGCGGGATTCTTGGGATGAAACATGATGGAACCGATGGATTTGGAGGTAACCATGGGTTTGGTCATTTTTAGGGACAAAGCTTGGCACCTGACGCCTACACAGAGATCAGCTGAGCGTGATAGCAGTGATAGCTTGATGTGGTGATGGAGAAAATCATTGAACTTTCGGTGGATGATTTTCCAGCCGTGATTCCCGGATATCCTGTTCTCGCAGGACAAATATATGTGGGTTGGTCGTGTTTGGGAGTTGCGTGCTCTTTTAATGCACCAGAGCAACGACAAGGTCCAGACCATCACCACGGACAGCGAGCAGCTGTCGGAGTTCCGCAAGCGAGAACTGAAGGCCAAGCTGAAAGATCCTGAGCTTCGCCCCAGGTTGAAGCGCCTGGCTGCCAGGTGGAATGGGTGGAATGGGTCGAGTCAAGGGTACCGGGTAAAGCATCAAGTTCCTATGGAAAAGGGGCCGCATGGCCAAACTCACTCAGGTTTCGGTATATGAATTATGAACATTTATGAAGACTATATATCGAGCCACTTCTGTGTGTGAAATGAAGAAGCTGCAGATGAAGTTCCTTTCGCAGAAAGCCCTGAACCCAGCTTCGGCCCTATTTCATCCTATCTGGCTGTGCGTCCTACAAGTCGCCATGTTGGTTCCGTCAAATTCAAATTCCTAGATATCCTACATATCCTACATCATGTTGGTTCATCTTCCCATTTTGCAGCCGATCTACCCTGATCTACCTATAAAAATCTCATCAAATCTCTTGGGATCGGCTTCAGGTGGAGGGGCGCTGCGCAACGCTTGCGCTGCAGTTTTTCGGTGCTTCGGCGCTTGAAGTTTTCGCATCTTCGAGGAACCCTGATCCTGGGCTGAAAGCCAACAAAGGGGAATCCATGGTGGTTCCTAAGAACAAAACCTCCAAAGAAAAAAACCTACACTGTAAATACTGTAATTTGATCATTTTGGGCTGTTGCATGGCTGTATGCTACATGTTGTTATTGGCTGTACAACATGCAATACCCTCCGGGAATCAAACATGGTTTGCTGGAGAATTGACCATTGATGTTTTTTTCCAGCTAGATATGGGATTTTCCATTTAATTATAGTTGATTTACATTGATTTACCTATTGAGAATGGTGATTTCCATAGCTTTTTGTCATGTTTGCCGTTTGGCTACCCCCATTGCCAAACAATACACTGGAGGTATCAGATCTAAGGATCTATGCGCACGGCTCGGGC